GGTGCCCCCTCCGCTGGGTAAGGTGCCCCCTCCGCTGGGTAAGGTGCCCCCTCCGCTGGGTATGGTGCCCCCTCCGCTGGGTATGGTGCCCCCTCAGCTGGGTAAGGTGCCCCCTCAGCTGGGTAAGGTGCCCCCTCTCTGTATACCCCCCTCCTTCTCTCTCCTCCCCTGATAACCTGTGGCCTCCTCTCTGCAGGGCCTGGTGGTCTCTCTGCCTCATGTTCTGGGCTCTGTGTGTTCGCGGAGGGCCCAGGACTTCTTCCAGCACATGATGCCAGCGGGGCGGCACTGGAGGGGGAAGCTGGTAACAGGTGAGGGGCCAAGCTTGGGGTATGTGCTGCTGTGGGGTCTTCTTCCTCCTGTCATATGATAACACTGTAGTCTGTATCTAGGCCCGGATCTGGCACCCAGCGAGTACGCCGAGGCTGCGGTCAGCGCGGTGGTGGTCCCGGTCCTGGATGGGGTAACTTCACTGCGTCTGGAGGAACAGGTGCCGGCGGTGTGTGTGGCAGCGGGTGTGTTCATGGAAGCCTGGATGGGACATATCCTGCGGGAGAAGATAAAATTCAGGTAAGATGTGGCCTGGGGGGGAGGGGGTGTCACCTTCTGTTCTCTCTTGGTGGGGGAGAAGATAAAATTCAGGTAAGATGTGGCCTGGGGGGGAGGGGTGTCACCTTCTGTTCTCTTTTGGTGGGGGAGAAGATAAAATTCAGGTAAGATGTGGCCTGGGGGGGAGGGGGTGTCACCTTCTGTTCTCTATTGGTGGGGGAGAAGATGTGGTCTGGAGGGACCTGAGGGGGGTGTCACCCCCTGTTCTCTTCAGGCAATAGGTTCTGCTTTTGGCACTGTGCAGGCACCGCGTCCTTGTAAAAGTTAGCCGTGCCGCCGTTTCCAGGTCGGGAGCCGTCGGCATTGCCTCAGTCTCTGATGGCTCACTTGGTGAGTAGGCTCCTTGGGCACCAGGACCTTCCCCGTGCACTCGCTGTTCCCGGTCTAGGATCCTTTAAGGAAACATTTTGGCCAGATGTTTGTACCTCCCAAGCACCTGTAGGTGGTGCAGCTGTTTGAGGAGGACTTGGAAAGCGAGCGAGCCTCCCCATTTGTGGATCTGGTCCGCCATTGTCCTGCCTGCCATCCCATTGGACCATGCAGTTGTGTCCGGAGCCTTGTTCTCTGTGACAGGTCCTGCTCCTCAACCTGTCCCAGCCATGACCTTGATCTGTGAACCTTGTCTGGCTGGTTTATGGGGATTGGAAGGGATCTGGTCACCATGACACATGGACACTCGGTCATAGACCACTTGGAGGAAAGGCCCGCGGCTTTGAACCATAGAGTGGATGGGTTGCTAGAGGTCTGTCGCTGGACATGAAGAGGACGCTTTGGAGGGCAGAGCCTGCGTCCCTCCCCCTCTGCTCTGGAGGTCTGAGGATCCTTGAGACTTCATGTCCAGTACACTGTATATTGGAGTTGAGGACGCCGAGGGACATGCCGTTGCTGCGGTGTAGGGAGCGCCGGCACAGCTAGTCGGCGCCGGGATTCGGGTGAGTATAACTTTATTTTACCCCTTAGATGAAAACGAGGACTTAACCCTTCCAGTGTGGGGGTGGCCCTACTTCTAGGGTTGGGAATAATGTTCTCCTAGGGTTCTTCTTCGGGGGAGGGGGTCTCAGGAGCTTGCTTGTAT